TAGCTAAAATTCTTCATTGAGAGTCACACTGGCTGTGATCTCAAGTTTCTTTTTGTTGGTGAGAAGATCCTTCAGGTACTTTGCATATTTTGGCATTTGAGCGAGAGCCTCCACAATTGAATGTTGAGGTGGAGCTGGCTCATCAGTGTCATGAATTGAGCAAACTCGGCCTCCATTGATCCTTGCGGAGCAGAGTTGTATAAGGGAGTGAGGGAACAACTTCTGGTACTGAATGTTTCGACTTAGAATTTGGTTCCTCTTTTCCTTTCTCCAGTGCATATGTTGTCCTTGCCTGCTTAGAGGAGGTCAGTTGTTCAACTTGTTTTGGCGTCTCCACTTTCTTTTTCGCGATAGGTCCACTTTCTGTTTTGGGATAGGTACCTTGACCTAGCCTCCTTTCCACTTTGGAGTGTCACAACTTTCATTTTGGATTCTAAAGCTTGATTCCAAGAAATGACAGTTTGAGAGATGATGCCAAGATGAGTGGTTAAGGTTGTCAAAGATGATTGGTGAATTTGAAATCCTGATTCAATGGATGAAAATTTCTCAGAAGCTTCTTCCATAATCTTTTTGATCTTCTCTAACTTATCCGAGATCGAACTCACAAATGTGGTAACGAGATCTTCAAGTTTGGAAAACGTGTTAGGTTGCGGTTGATAAGAAAAAGAATTCATGGAATCTAAGGCTCTTGATCTATTTGTGCTACCCATGCATGGACCAGATGGTCGTTCCACCCCTGACTTTACAACTTGCCACATGGTTTGTTTCTATTGGTGGAACTTCTACCATTACAGTGACATAAAATTGTTCTTCCCGGGTGGTCACCTTCCTCATGATCTGACATTCTTCTACTTCATGGTTGGGAATCGAACACCAATCACTAACCATAACCGAGATTTTTCCTTGCTTCTTATCATGCAAGATCACCTCGATAAACTCATCAATTTTCACCGCCAATGGACGATTTGCTTCGGTGGAGTGCACTCCCCTCTCTTGAATCTTCCTTCCCCACCTTGTCATACCCCAATCATAGCCCTTTGCAACTATTTCTTCAAATGATGCCGTCATTTGGGGTGGAGTCTTATTGAGAATATTCCCTTGGCACAATGTCTAATCCATAATTTCTCACCATAAACATGGTGTGGGCATTGAATAAATAGATTGGAATATCGCTCCCACACATCCCTTAAAGTCTTTTCATCCTCTTGAGCAAAGTGGGTGATCTTCTTCTAATACTTTGCCATCTGGGAAGGCGGGAAATACCTATTCATGAAATTAGTTAGCAAGTCATCCCAAAATGTGATTGAGAGTGGAAACTTATTGTTCAACCAACTTCGTGCCTTGCAACTTTGGGAGGAGGGAAGGAGTTTCAACTTGATGACATCTTGAGGCACTCCGTTAATCTTCAAGCCATCCGTCAATTGAAAGAATTTGTTGATGGGCTCCCTTGGGGACTTGTCTTCAAGACCATGATATTGAATGTAACTCTAGATCATGGTGATGAGACCCGTCTTTATCTCAAAGTTATTGGCTACCATGGGCGGGTGTAGGATGCTCAACTGGATGTCCGCCTCTCGTGGAGTTATATAATATCCCATTGTTCAGAGCTTTTCTCTTTATTCTTGAATGGGAACCTGTCACTCTCTCGAAAACTCCCCCTTACAAATTCAGCACACTCTCCTTTATATATATAGTTCTCGAGTGCACATATCACAATCTTATATCATGTTCGTGAAGTAGACAGGGAAACCGTGATCTCGGCGCAAAATGTGTCGTTTCACTAACAAACTTCACGAGATGATTGTTGACTTCACGATTTGCAGACCGCGATCATGAAAATGCTCGCAAACTGCACGAATCCTCCTAGAAGTGTGCAGTCTTTACGGTTTTCTTGTCTGTTTCACGGTATGCGCCTGTGATGATAGCACCAAAATCGTGATCCTTGCACTTTCGTCAATTTTTCTCCCTTTTCACCCTATTTATGGTTGATTTCATGCCCACAGGCCCTGAAGTAGCACCCTGCCCGCGAGATGTACTTGCTCTACTGGAAACTTGTGTGTTTCATGGTTTTGGGGGATGTTCACGTCCCCAAGAAGTGAACATTTGCTCTGGCCCGTGAACCTTGCAAATCCTTCACTTCTTGATTGCATATATGCCCGATATTAGGGTGAGTATAGCCTACCCCAAGTACCATTCTCTCAATCCTATTTTCTATCGTTAACAATTTCTTATTACTAAAAACTACCAATTTTCTATCTCAAAGTTAATGTAAATGATGCGGAATTGAAAGATGTTTTTAGATGCTTTACCTGTTGATTGCATATTTTTTTAGTCTTGGAAGTGGTCACCTCAAAGTTTATAGAAGTGATGCAGAATTGAAAGATCATTTTAGGATTAGAAGGGTCATTGGATTTGATTGTAGTATAGAAGATTGTATATTTTTCATCTTAACTGCATCCTTGGATCTTGCGTGGTTGAATGTCGAGAAAAATCTGTTAGAGTAGTCAAAGAGTAAAGGAAATACCACATTGGTGGGAGAAGGAAAGTGCAAGTTGTTTTTAAGTTTGCTTTCCACTTTAGTTATTGGATAAAGTGGTTAGTGGGCTTTTGGAAAAAGTGTGGGCTATTTAATTTGACATATTAAATCGCACTTAGCACTTTGCGCGACGCGTTCGGATTTGAATTTTTGGCTAATTAATTACCGGAATTATTTTAATTAATCAATCCGGATAATTATTTGATTTTGACTTTTGTGAAACGACGTAACCCTTCGGAAGGGAACTGTCGTTTTCACTATAAAAAGTCTTCTGCAGCCGATGTTCTCGTCCAACGTTCATCTTCTTCTCCTCGTTTTTTCCTTCTCCAAAAACACAAACACAGGAGTCACGAAAGGTGCTGCTTTCTGACTTTTATTGGAGGGACTCCTGGGGGTGGTTTTCCTAAATCCTACCAACAACTAAGTAGTGGGGGCAAATAAACACTCTAAGGAGAGTGATCAAAATCACGCCTTCAATATGTTTTCTCCATACTGTTTCCTTGACAATCTTAGAGTGTTTATTTTTGCGTGACAATGGATTCTGGAGTGGAGAGCACTTTGAAGGCGTATGCCTCTGATTCCAACAAACTCAATCGGTTTGATGGAACCAATTTCACCCGCTGGCAAGAGAAGATGAAGTTTCTGTTGACTGCTTTGAAGATCGTGTACATACTGGATCCTGAGTTGGTGCCGCTAGAAGAACCACAAGACACTGTCTCTGATGAATTGAAGGCTGAGCGCAAGAAGAGGAGTGATGACAGCCTGTTGTGCCGAGGATACATCCTCAATTCACTCTCTGATCGTCTCTACGATCTGTATTCCCTATTGGCAACCCCTACTGAGATTTGGACATCTTTGGAGAACAGTACAAATCAGAGAAACAAGGCGCAGATAAGTTTGTCACATTGCAGTTCTTTGAATTTAGCATGACTGATAAGCGTTCAATTTTGGATCAAGTTCATGAATTCCTAATCTTGGCCTCTAAGTTCATTGCGTTGAAGATAACTCTTCCTGATGCGTTTTTGGTGGGGGCAATTATTGCTAAGTTTCCACCATCATGGAACAACTATAGGAAGAAATTACTTCATACGTCAGAGGAGTTCACTTTGGAGAAGATTCAGAAGCACCTTAGGATCGAGGTGGAAACTCGTATTTGTGACAAGGATCTGAATTCGGAGGCACCATCAAGTTCCAAAGTGAATGTTGTGGAGAGCAAGAAGGGAAAGAAGAGAAAGGCCATGAATAATTCCAACAACCAGACCAACAACCAGAAGAATAAAAAGAAATAGCCATCCCCTATGTCCACTAAGAATTGTTTCAATTGTGGGCAATTGAGACATATTGTTCGCTTCTGTCCTAATCCAAAGAAGAACCAAAACGAAGGGGCTGCAAGTGCAAACGTGATTGAGAAAGGTTAGTGAGATTGTTGCAATGATTTCTGACTTACATGTGAGTATGATTCAGGAATTGCACATGGCTGGAGTCATGACCAATGCTGATTGGTGGTATGATTCGGGGGAAACTGCTCACATTTGTAACAAGAGAGCCATGTTCAAGGACTACACAGAGTCAACGGAGGGACATGAGGTTCTGTTGGGAAATCATTGCACGATCAAGGTTCTTGGATCTGGAATCGTGGAGCTTTTCTTCACTTCGGGAAAGAAAGTTGTCCTCATCAATGTCCTTCACGTTCCTGATGTTAGAAAGAACTTGGTTTCTGGTTTCATGCTTTGTAAGAAGGGGATAAAGGTTGTGATAGAATCTGATAGGGTGATTCTGACCAAGGCTGGTATGTTTGTTGGGAAGGGCTGTGTTAGTGATGGTATGTTTAAGCTAAGTATTGACAATGGTAATATTAATTAGGGCTGGGAATTTAGACCAAACCGTATGACAAACCGCGGTTTAGACCATACCGTACGGTTTGGTCCGGACCGTTAGACCATGAATACAATTTGGTCTGGTCCATGGTTTGCCTCTTTCACTTGCGGTCTGGAACGGTTTGGTCTGGTCTAGACCGTGGTTAACCGTCCAGACCGTGACCAAAATTAAGTATGGGCTGAGCCCAACTAGACAGCTCCAAGCCTCAACATTTCAATGGGCCAAAGCCCAATTCAATTCTCCCACAGCCCACCCGCAGCCCTAGCTGAGCTCCATTTGCATTCGGCATTTTCGGCTGCTGCGTGCTCTTCCTCATCAGCCGACAATAGCGTTGCTGGCCGCTGAATTTTGCAAGGTAGAAAACCTACCTATTCACCAATCACCATCGTCGTCGCCTTCCGCCATCGAGAAAGAAAACCTACCTATTCAGTATTCACCATCGTCGTCGGCTCGTCGCCGGCTCGTCGCCTTCCGCCATCAACCTCCACCATCTCCGTTGCCTCGCCCCGCCTTCCGCCATCCAGCAGCTCCTCTCAACTCGCACGACTTTCGCCATCAAACTCCACCTTCTCCATCGACCTCCGCCGAATTCTCGAGTGTTTTATCGCCATCGACCTCCTCCATCATTGCCGGCCATCATCCTCGACCTCTGCCTGCCTACCATCGACCCACCCGGCCATTGCCGACTGTCCCCTGCAAACGAGAATCCCCAATCACGACCAGCTTCCCCTGTGTTTGTTCTTCAATGGTAATAATAACTTCATCCTCTTGCAATTAATGACACAACAATCCTATGTTAGTATGTTTGGGGCTACAACGACCCAGATTCCTGTTGGAAATAGATAAAGTGATGTTCCAACAATCCTATGTTAGTTCTGTTTATGTTTAGAGAAGCCAAGGTATCTACTTGAATGGAAGGTATCTACTTGAATTGAATGGTTCGTTGTCTATTATTTAGGCTAGCAAAAGAGCTCGTTACGAAGATAGCTCTGGAACTGATGCAGATGCAGCAGCTATGCCACCTCCTCCAGCTCCGGGGCAGCAAGGGCAGCAACAAGTACCTTCTCCAGCAGCCCCAGCAGCAGCTCCAGCAACCCCAGCAGCAGCTCCAGCAGCCACAGCAGAAGCTCCAGCAACTCCAACAGCTTCTACTACGATCTTCCAAGATGCCGAAGACATTCGTATATGGGGTAAATTGAGGTCGAAAATATGGAAGGAGTACAAGAGGTATATTGAAAATGGCCAAAAGAAAGCAAGCTGCCTCATTTGTGGTCAAGCATTTGCTGCTGATCCATCAAGTAATGGTACGTCTACTCTTACTACCCATTATGAGAAATGCAAGAAGAAATTGGAAGAGTTAAGTCAATCAAGAGGTCAATTGAACTTAACTTTTCAACAATCTATTGATGGCCAAGGAACTCTTTCTACTTGGAAGTTTGATCAAAATTGGATTAGAAGTGGTTTGGTTGAAATGATAACCTTGGATGAATTACCTTTTAGATGTGTTGAGAAGGAAGGGTTTAAAAGGTTTATGGCACGTGCATGTCCCATGTTCAAGATTCCTTGTAGGAAAACAATTAGAGAAGATTGTTTTAGATTATTTCTGGAGGAGAGGGGTAAATTGAAAGACTACTTCAAAATCAAGTGTGATGGAAGGGTGTCTATAACTACAGATACTTGGACTTCAAACCAAAACTACAACTACATGTGCATCACAGCTCACTTTATTGGTGATGATTGGAAGTTGCATAAGAAGATCATCAATTTTTCTAAGATTACAAGTCACAAGGGGAAAGATGTTGGGGAAGCCATTGCATGTTGTTTAGAGGGTTGGGGTTTGAAGAGCATCTTTTCTGTTACAGTTGATAATGCTACATCTAATGACACTGCAATCACTTATTTGAAGAACAAGCTTGATGGGTGGGGTACTAGTGTTATAGGTGGCAAGTACCTACACATGCGATGTTTTGCTCACATTACTAATTTGATTGTCTCTGATGGTTTGGAAGATATGGGCATGTCTGTTAGGAGAGTGAGAGAGGCAGTAAGATGGGTTCGGTCTTCACCTTCTAGATTGGCAAAATTTAAAGAATGTGTGGCTTTCAATGACATTGAAATGAAGAGGATGTTGTGTTTAGATGTGCCAACTAGATGGAATTCGACATTTTTCATGTTAGAAGCTGCTATTCCTTATGAAGATGCTTTTAATGCTCTTGTGAGGAAGGATAAGGATTATGTACCTGACTTGAAGGCCAAGAAGTTCAAACATGAAGAAATTGGGATCCCACAACATTCTGATTGGAAATGTGCTAGGATTCTGCTGAGATATTTGAAGTTTTTTCATGATTTGACACTACTTGCATCTTCTGCTTCTCATACAAGATCTCATCAGTTCTTGAAGGCAATTGGTGATGTATTCTACCACATTGGTAGAATGAGTGCTAGTGATGATGTTGATGTGGCTAGGATGGGAAAGAAAATGAAGGAGAAGTTTGATAAGTATTGGTCTGAGAGGGAAGGGGAGAATCTTAGATTGAATTGGTTGGTTTACATAGCTGTTGTGCTTGATCCGAGGTTCAAGATGAGTTATCCACAACATGTTTTGAAGAAGTTGTATGGGGAGGTAAGAGGGAAGGAATTGATTAAAGAATTGGATGCTGAGCTTACTTTGTTGTTTGAGTATTATGAAAGAAGGGTGGGGCAACCTCCTCCTCCACCACCACCTACACAAGCACAAAGTCAGGTTGGTGAGGCTTCTAGTTCTAGTCATTTGGACCCACTATATGAAGATTGTGAAGGTGGATTTGATTCGGATTTCATACCTCCTACCCTTTGTGAATTCAAATCTGAGCTTGAGATGTATCTATCTCATCCTTGTGAAGGTGGAGCTGGAGGAACACAACTTGAGTTTGATTTATTGCAGTGGTGGATGACCCATCATTTGAGGTATCCTATCTTGGCTGAGATGGCTAAGGATGTCTTTGCTGTCCCGATGTCTACCGTGCCTTCTGAGTCGGCTTTTAGTACCGGTGGGAGAGTTTTAGATGACTTTAGGAGTTCATTACATCCTAAGATTGTTGAAGCACTAATATGTAGTGAAGATTGGCTTAGATCTGGTTCCCTCCAACCTTTGGATGATGAGGAAGATGATTATGAGGATGATGAAGCTTTAGTCAATGGTAATGTTTATTAATATAGTTTTTTGTTGTCTATTGTCAAATATCAATTCTGAGTTTTAGATTTGCTAACTATTTATTTGGTTTGTTTTCTTCCTTTGTTTAGTTTATAATGTCCTTATGGTGGAGCAGCAACTTGAGAGCGGAGTACCCCAAGATTCTAGCATGAGCAAAGAGATTGGAGGAATTGATGATGTTGTCTCGACTTCGAACGTGTAAAGGACAAAAAGAGATTGGTGTTTGAATTTGCACTTTATAGTTTGTTGAACTTATTAGTATTGAACTATGGATGTTTTTGATTCTTAATCTCATGTTATGTTGGGTTGTAGACTTGAAATTGTTGGTGTTATGTTGACTTTTGAACTTTGTTGGATTAGATGTCAATGCGTTTTTTATTTTAGTCATTAGCTAATATTTAACATTGGATAATACAGGTTATGTTGAACATGGTCTACTCGGTCCAGACCGTACCGGACCGCACCGCACAGGCGTGGTCTGGTCTGGACCGTATAGGTTATGGTCTGGTCTATGGTCTCTGTTCTACCCTCTCGGTCTGGACCGCAGACCGTGTATATGGTCTGGTCTGGACCAGACCAAACCGTTTCCCAGCCCTAATATTAATAAAAAAGTTGATGGTTCTGCTTATATCGATGTGCATGCAAATTATAGTATAGAAAGTACTTCTTTTGATTTATGGCATAATCGATTGGGGCATGTTAACTTTAAAACTCAGAAATACATGTCTAGAAATGATTTAGTAGTTTGTGGTAATGACAGTGGAGATAAATGTGAAATCTGTGTGCAAGCTAAGATGAAGAGAAAGCCATTTCCTAAGTTGGTTGACAGAAAATCAGAATTGTTAGAATTAGTACATTATGATATTTGTGAATTTCATGGTCAATTAACTAGAGGAGGATGTAGGTACTTCATTACTTTCATTGATGATAGTACTCGATTTACCTATGTCTATTTAATGCGAACCAAGGATGAAGCCTTTGATAAGTTTAAATTATATAAATCTGTTGTTGAAATTCAAAAGGGTAGGAAAATACAAATCCTTTGAAGTGACAGAGATGGAGAGTATTTTCCAAATAACTTTAACGAGTTTTGTGAGCAACATGGTATAATACATCAAAGGACTGCTCCTTACACCCCACAATAGAATGGAGTAGCAGAAAGAAAAAATGGAGTTCTTTCTGGCATGATTAATGCTATTTGATGAATGCTAGTGCTCCAAACAATGTGGGGTGAGGCTTTGCTAACAGCCTGCCATGTACACAATAGGATTCCGTCTAAGAAGCTAAGGGAATCTCACTATGAGTTGTGGAAGGGAATGAAACCGAACTTGAGTTATCTTAGATTTTGGGGATGTCTTGCTTTCTACAGAGTCCCAGATCCTAAGAGAACTAAGTTAGGACCACGGGCTTTGAAAGGTGTTTTTCTTGGATATGCAGAAAACTCAAAAGCCTATAGGTTTCTAGACTTAGAATCTAATGTGGTTGTGGAATCAAGAGATGTTGAGTTCTTTGAGAACAAGTTTCGACGTGGCTCTGCAAATGTAGAACCATGTCGAGTTACTTCTGTAGATTCCTCAAATGAGTCTATCTCTGCTCCCTCTTTTGAAATTGGTTCTAGTAGCAAAAGGCATTTAGATGACCTTGCTGCTAATGAACCACGAAGAAGTCAAAGGGCTCGAAAGGAAAAGAGTTTTGGTCCAGAATTTATTGATCCTCAAGATATAGTCTTTCTTGTAGAGGGAGATAGGTTAAATAAGATTACAAGAAAGATACCCATTTTGTTCCATGTGCAAGACGATCCCAAAACCTATCAAGAAGTAATGGCTTCTAGAGATTCTGCTTTTTGGAATGAGGCTGTTAATGATGAGATGGATTTGTTATTGATAAATAAAACTTGGGTTCTTGTGGATTTGCCTTCTAGATCTAAGGCTATTGGATGCAAATGGGTATTTCGCATAAAGTATAACACGGATGGATCAATACATACCTTCAAAGCTAGATTGGTTGCAAAAGGGTTTAGGCAAAAGGAAGGAGTAGATTGCTTCGACACCTATGCACCAGTTGCAAGAATCACCTCCATAATAGTGCTTTTAGCTTTGGCTTCTATTTACAATTTGCATGTACACCAAATGGATGTAAAGACGACATTCTTAAATGGTGAGTTAGATGAAGAAGTGTATATGGAGCAACCAGAAGGGTTCGTGTTGCCTGGAAATGAAGGAAAGGTGTGTAAATTGCAAAAGTATGGACTTAAGCAAGCACCTAAACAATGGCATGAGAAATTTGATTATGTTACTTTGGCTCACGGATTTTCTCATAACTCTGCTGATAAGTGCATTTATTCAAAGTGCACAAAAGAGTATATGGTCATTATATGCCTTTATGTTGATGATATGTTGATAATAGGAACTAACATGAAAGGCATAAATGAGACCAAAGAGTATCTAACTTCCTGCTTCCAAATGAAAGATCTTGGAGAAGTAGATACTATATTGGGCATCAAAGTAAAGAAACATAGTGAGAGTTTTGTTTTGAGTCACTCACATTATGTCGAGAAGATGCTCAAGAAATTCGAGCATTTGGATATAAAGGAGGCTAACACCCCTTATGATGCATCTTTTAAGCTTTGTGCGAAAGAGGGAAGGGAAGTGGCACAAGTTGAGTATTCTAGTGCTATTGAAAGTTTGATGTATGCAATGGGATGTACTAGGACCGATATTGCATTTGCGGTGGGCAAACTTTCTAGATTCACTAGTAATCCTAGTGCTGATCATTGGAGAGCTATAGGAAGAGTCTTTGGTTATTTGAAAAGATCCAAAGATTTGGGACTCTTCTATAGCAACTTCCCCGCTGTACTAGAAGCATTTTCTGATGCTAGTTGGATCATGAGCGCTAGTGATAATAAATCCACAACATGATGGATTTTTACACTAGGTGGTGGAGCTGTTTCTTGGGCTTCGATGAAACAAACATGTATTACACACTCCACTATGGAAGCCGAA